ACATGCTGGCCAGCCAGCCATGCCCATTAGGTGGCTAGACCACAGGTGATCACGCCCTGATCACGCATCGCTCGCATGTTGGGTCAAATTGCTGATACACTCCGCCACCGCACCACTATTTACAATGGTTGCGTCACTTAACACTTCGATACAATAATCTGGCGGGGTCACTTTGCTTGTTGACACATTGCTGCTCTCTTTTATGGCAAGGCCAGGAAATATCAAAGTGCATCCTTATTTAAATATTTTTAATTTAGGCAAATAGGAAGAAACACAGCATATTCACCTGATGAGCAAGGGAGGATGTTGTGAAGACTGCTGTATGTCTAGGCCAGGGGTGGGCAATTATTTGGGCCCTATATGCCACCTAGGAAGTTTTGGGGAGCTATCATGGGCTGGGTCAACACCTCCCCCACTCCTGCAACAGCTCACCAAATGTCCTTATGTGAGATGGGGTTGTGGGTGGGTGGGGAGGTGGAGTGGGCAGCAGCTTCAATAGGGGCAGCATAGCCAGGGCCCCACCACCACCACCGCTGCTTCTGGGCCACTCTTCTACACCAAGGAAGAGCTTGAGCAGACACCCTGATCCCCAGTGGGAACTTGCTGGCTGCATCCACAGCTAATGCCAGTGCCTACCTAGTGTTGTTTCCAATGCACGGGCTGGGAGCTGTCGTAAGCTGTGGGAATGTGTTGTAGGTGTGGGACGGTTCAGATGGGGAGGGAGGGAGAGACAAAGAGAGCCAGAGATAGATAGATTGACAGAGGCAACCCTGCCCACCCCCTGTCCATGATGAGTGGTGGTGGCCAGTGCTGAGCACCAGGAAAAAGCAGGACCTGTCAGCCAGAGTGCCAGCTGCCAAGCCCCACTTTTTCCAGGCACCCAGCACTGGCTGCCACTGCTTACTGTGGGCAGGTTGTGGGCAGGGCCGTCTCTCTCTGTCTCCCCCTCCCTCTTACTCCCTACCTGAACCATCCTGCACCTACAGCATGTCCCTGCAGCTTACACCAGCTCCTGGCCTATATGCCTGAAGCAGTGTTGGGCAGATGCCAGCATCCACTGTGGTCACAGCCAGCAGGTTCCTATTGGGGATCAGAGCATCTACCCAAGTCCATAAGTGTTGCTGCTGCATCAGCTGCAATCCTGGGCAGTTGCTCCAAT